GTACTTTCGGAAGTGCAATCAGTAAGGCATAAACTGAAGCGGTGAAAAGTCACCTTGTCTTCAGACGGGCTTATTAACCCCAATAGAGGTTCGAAGTCGAACAACACACATGCGGCTACTCACAAGCACCCAACCGAATAAATTGCTTACAGCATGTTTGCCGAGGGCAATACAAACACCGTGAATACCTTGAGTCACTGACTTAGTATCGCCTAGGATGCGAAGAGTGTTGTCATTTCCATCAGATTCAGAACCAAGCGGTCGAAGCTTCGTCACAACGGTGTTATCTTGTATGCGTGTTTCATAGACATAACACATAAATATCAAGAAAGTGAAGAGTTAGTGCTGCGTGTTGGCCAATCTGACCCAGAATGCAGACGTTAAAAGAACCTATGTGAAACGAGACTAGATTTGATGGACGAGCTACATATGTCGATGGAAGAAGCTGCGAAGTGAGCGGGAACCTCTTACTAGACGGAAGTATAGTGAAGGGCAGAGGAAAACAGGAAGAAGAGAAAGTGCTGTCGACGAAGTCCAGAATGCAGATTTTACTCTTCGGCTGCCCATTCTGCGTGAAAAGTGGACGGTTAATCCCTTATCAGCCACGCCGTCTAGCAAGTTTGGCGGAAAATTTGGAAGATCATTTCAGCAAACCTGCTATGGCATTGCAGCTTGCTAAATTACCCTAACCGACGTGGAGGGTTGATGCCACATCTGTCCCTTTGGAAGAGATTCGACATGATCTAGCTTTGTTGAAACTAAACAAGGCCTATTTTCCACACCACAATTCTCCATCTTTGCTGAAAGATGGTGACTTTGTTGACTGGACCTACTACCCTATTCATGTTGGGGGTTTGAAATGGGATGGCGTCCATTTCTGTAAAACTAAATCTTTGCCACCTCCCCGCTGCCTTGCGGACAGGGTTTTGAGCCAAAGGCTTTGGATGAGGACCCTAATCGTTCTCCTGTCTAGGTCTGGGCGCCCTGGCAGTATCCCAGCCCACATACAACCATGACATTTTCTTCAAACATAAACTTCATCCTGCATCGGCCGTCGCGCAGATTATCAAGGGTCGCCTTATCTGCTGCATACAGCAGGGCGGATAAGCGAAAGCATGCTACTGCTGGCGCCTCCCTTCTTTCTTTTCCACCTTTTTCTCTTACTCCCATCCCGGCCCCCATTACTAACCTTCCTTCTATAATTCCCAGCTTAATTGACAGCAACCGCAGTGCTACTGGAGTAGAACCATCTGCAGCCACCATCCCACAGCACCTATCGGACGCCTATCGGCAAAAGTCCCTTATAAGGCCAGCTGTCCAGTACCCATGGCGACATTCAACGTCCGCACTCTAAGACAAACAGGTCAGCAGGCTGCACTCGCACGCACCTTGGACACACTGGGTGTTGATGTGTGTTGTGTGTCCGAAACTAGGATTAATGACCCTAACGGGGTTATTGAATTAACTGCACCCGGCTTATCCTCTCGTTATTGGTTGCACGCATCCGGAGACGTCGATGCGGCACTCACGGGTCAAGCTGGTGTAGGTATCATTCTCAGCTCCAAGGCTGAGTCATCGTTGGTTGATTGAATTCCGGTGAACAGCCGTTTATGTGCAGCCCGTTTGACGACATCAGCTAAGGTGAATTCACGAAGTAAAACAAAACGCTGTTTGTTTGTGATTTCTGCTTATGCTCCCACCGACTACAGTTCTAATGCAGTCAAGAACACTTTCTATCACGAACTGAACACGCTGCTACGCAGTGCTACTAGTTCAGATATCATAGTACTTGCAGGAGATATGAACGCACAAGTAGGGCGTCTGAGCTCTTCAGAAGCTCAGCTGGGTGGTAAGTATGGACTTAACGCCGAACGGACTGACAACGGCGAGCGTCTGCTGCAACTGTGTGCGGAGCACCAGTTGTTTCTTACTAGCACTGCTTTTAGACACAGTGGGCGTCGAAGTGCCACTTGGCGTCCACCTGTAGCTGGTCAGCGATGGACCCAAATTGACCACATAGCCATAAGTTACAGGTGGCGCGGTTCCATTCTAGATTGCCGCTCGTACTGGAGTACCTGTGTCGACTCTGACCATGCCTTGGTACGCTGTCGTTTCTCCATGAACTTTACCGGAAGGCGCTCAAAACGTCTCCCCCGATTGGCAACGGAGAAATTGTCCCAGCCCTCTGTCAGGCAAGCCTATCAAGAAGCACTTCATAGCGAACTCTCGCTGTCTTGTCCTAATGATACTGAACTTCAGTGGAATAGGATCTCGGCCACTATGCACGACGCAGGAGCATCTGCTTGTGGCACTATCAGTCGTCATCGCACCAGTCACTGGATGTCCGAGAGGACCGTGAACCTTTTGGAAGTTAGAAGGCACCTCCCGGCTGGTTCTGAACACACTGTGACCAGACGGGCTATTAGGCGTGAACAAGAGCGGAGCCTACGTGCTGACAAGGAAGCCTGGTGGACCAGTCGGGCTCAGGAAATGGAGGAAGCAGTATGCAATTACCGGAAGCTCTTCCAGCTAATACGCACCACTGGTCCGAGAAAACCAGGCGTCAGTGAGACAATCAGGGACAGCGTGGGTGCGCTGATACACAATAAGGAGCGCCGTATGGCTCGTTGGGCTGAGCACTTTGAACAGCAGTTCAGCTGGCCCCCTGCTCCCGGACCTCTTCCTACTCAGGTGATGCAGGACGAGCCATGGACGGTTAGTTTAGAGCCTCCGTCGGAGGCCGAGGTCCGAAACGCGATCACAGCCCTCAATCGTTTTCGTGCCGCTGGCCCGGATTCCCTCCCACCTGCACTATTTAAGGATGGAGGTGAGGTCCTCTGCAAAGCACTGACCTCCCTATTCGAACGTATCTGGAACGAAGAGTGTGCCGGCTAATTGGAGCGAATCGATTATAGTGGCAATATACAAAAAGGGCAGTCGCACAAACTGTGCGAACCACAGGGGTATTAGCCTAACGCCAGTTGTGACAAAATTACTGGCCTCGATTATCATTCGTCGCCTCACTGCAGAACGGGAATCTCGGATTAGAGAAGAGCAGGCCGGTTTTCGCCCAGGACGTGGCTGCATAGACCATATATTTACTTTGCGGCAGGTGCTAGAGCGGCGCCACGCATACCGCAGACCGACAATAGCTGTGTTCCTCGATTTCAAGAATGCGTTCGATTCAGTCGATCGATCGATTATGTTCGAAATACTTGCGCGGAAAGGTGTTCCCACGAAATATGTGAACATCCTTCGTGCTCTATACTCGAACACTAGAGGCCGCGTCAGGGTCTATGGTGCCCCATCGGATAGCTTTTCGACTACAAGTGGCGTTCGACAGGGTTGTCCGATTTCCCCATTTTTGTTCAATTTCGTCGTGGATTCTATCATGGAGTGTTCCCTTGCGGAATCTCACGATATAGGTGTTGAAGTGCTGCCTGGTGAACGGTTAGTTGATCTAGATTATGCGGACGATATCGTCTTGCTTTTCGACAATGTTGAGGCGGCACAACCAACCCTGAATAGCCTATCCAGAGTGGTCCCATTATTTGGTATGCACTTCGCACCTTCAAAGTGCAAAGTGTTGCTGCAGGACCATCAGCCGCTCGATGACCCCTTGACGCTTGCTAAGGAGGAACTCGAGGTGGTTGATCAATTCACTTATCTTGGCAGCTGCATCAGCAATGATGGGCGCATAGAAACTGACGTGAGCTCACACATTGCAAAGGCCAGAGCTGCATTCTTGAACCTGCGTCATCTTTGGCGACAGAAGGGAGTTTCCCTCCGTCTGAAAGGCCGTGTATACAAGGCCATAGTGAGGTCCGTTCTGCTCTATGGTAGTGAAACTTGGCCCCTTCGGTCTGAAGATCTGAGGCGCCTTCAAGTCTTTGATCATCGTTGTTTGCGAAGCATTGCTGGTGTCGGATGGCACCAGCGTGTCCGCAACGATGATGTGCGTAGGCGAGTACTAGGTGGTGATGATCATGCTAGCTCCCTAGAACAACAGATAGCCCTGAATAAGTTGCGTTGGCTCGGGCACGTGCTACGCATGCCTGGTCACCGCTTACCTAGGAGGGCCTTGTTCAGTCTACCAGGTGTCGGATGGTGCAAGGCTCGAGGTGGACAGAAGTTGACTTGGCAGCGGGAAATGAAGTCACTGACGACCAAACTGGGTACCGTTGGTTCGTCTCGCCTTCCGGGTTGGAGTCCACGTGACTCGCCTTGTGTTTGGCTCGAGACTTTACAGGACATGGCTCGCAGTAGACACCAGTGGCGCGTCTGCTGCCGTCTCCTAATCGGATTGTCTGTTTAAAGTGTGTTTGGTGCTGAGTTATCTGCGGGGTAATGGCTGATTATGACGCGGGGCAGTGAAAGCCGCAAGGAAGCTGTCTCGCCGATGCCGCCTTATCTTTGCCCGATAGCCAGCTGTTTGTGACGGAATGTTGTCTACACAAGGTGTAGGCGCCTTGACCCTGAATGTTTGCTTAGGGCATTAAGGTTTTCAGGTAAGTCCCCCTTCTCTCCCTCTTCTTATTCTCTATTTCATAGGTCCTCATGGTTGTATGGCAGCGAAGCATCAGTTCAAATGGCTGATGTACTGCTGTTGATGATGATGATGATGACCCTATTCAGCACGATTTGGATCACTGTGCAATGTTTTCAGTCTGGTGACTGTCAACGCTCATACCTATCTTCGTGAAGGTTCAGGACACCTTGTGTAAAACCACCGTGATATCGGTCTTATTTACTTTGTCTCCAACTTTCCCACAGTTATCATTCTTCGATGACTCACGGGCCTCCGTGAAAGTCAAATCATTGAAAACAAGGCTGGCTTCTGACCTGGTCGTGGTTACATGACTAAAATATTTTCTCTATCAAGGATTAGGACAGAGACGGTTACGCAAGATCGACTTTGGTCGTAGCCTAATCATGCGTTGTCTTTACTCTTTCACTTATCTCTGATTATTTTTCCATCCACCTTTTCCTCCCCTGGTTAGCTTTTATCTAATGATCACCGTCACTCCGGTGGTGAAGGCTGGTGCGTCGGTCAGGAAATTGACAGCGGTCGTATTGGTGTTTTTCCCGGTTCTTATGTTCTCCCGCACCAAAATCGCGCGACTTCACCTGTGACACAAGACCAGGATTTTTCTATGGACGATCGGTTTTCCAGCACCTGTTCCCCTGTTTGTTTCAATCATGATTCAATTCTCTCTGAAGATTCCAATGCTCACAGTGTTTCCCTGTCACGTACTCGCTCACCGGGCCGCGATACAATTGGCCAGTCTATACTGGCTCTGGATTGCCAAGTGGTGCTGATTAATCCTGCCGAAATCAAACATGAGCAGGTACGTTCCCCCCCCTCCCGTTTCCTACGAGACTGAATAGTTCATCGCACACCACCTGCACTTCACGACTTAGTAGCAAGTATTCCTTACCCAAAGTTTGCACCATTTATCCTCCTTCAAGCAGTCGCTCAATGCTAACCTTCGATTGAGATATTTTTTGCGTTTTATTTACCTTGCATCTATCAAAGTGGTCATCTATCCATTTTTTGTCGGTGAAGCCAACCAAAGAAATCATAAGCACGGACCCCTTGAGTGAACCAAAAAATGCTCTTTATGTCAACCATCTGACACAACAGCACGCCAGATGATTCTTAGCTTATTCACTCACCATTTACACTTACTGTCCTTGGAAGCTAGTCGCGCTTCCATCATCTTTCGAACCTGAATACTGACCCACAAAATTATAAAATGTCAGCTGCTGTTTGCACTATTTGTTTCCATTTGAAGGCGCTCCATCGTTTTATGCAGCCTCACTAACACTTCCTTTTTCGGGGCAAATTTATCCCTGAGTGTGCACTTTGTCTCTCTTAGTGTCTCACTAGTATGGCGTTAAACCGCCAACTGCTTCTTCCTGAGATCACTTCATCTCAGTCTCCTTTAATAACCTACTAATGGCTGAGTGCTTCTAACGTCTGACTCGTAATCAACGGTCCATGTGTTCGGACCTGCGTAGGTGCTGGTGACCTCACTGCATCCCAAACTGCGGTTGTGTGGCATCGAAACGTCAGTACAATGTACTACTGGCCTGGACTTGTCCATCTGCATACGAATTTGTAATATTCTTTATGGTTACTGCTCTGTGCTTTACCACCACTTTCACATTCATTTACTAGTGCACAATAATTCAGTAATTCTTTAAGCACTAAAGTACATGGGAACTTCTTTCTGTCATTCACTTCGCCACGAACTTCGAGTTTGACCCTCCAGACTGACCAATACTTTTGCACTAACGTGGGCCATATATATCTAATGACAATCTAGTCTGTTAGTTTCGTTGACATCACCACTTTCGACAGGCTCCTGCGATCCGCAATGTAGACATTTGTACTGAAAAAGACTTTGCTACTGTTATACTGCTTGTGCTTGACACAGTTGAATAGGTCAGCGGCTTATGCTGGTACGACATGCATCATTTTCATCTCACGTACCTTCTTTCCTTTTACGGTACATATCCTACTGGAGCATTCCTATAACCGGTATTGGTCAGTGGAGTTTATATTGACGACCTAGATGCATTCCAGTGCAACATAAGCACAGACGATTAAAATGCACCTGAAATGCTATAAAAAACCCGAATATGCTTTGAATTCCAACCGTAAAGAAATGCGTGCCTTGAGACCCATTCAAATGATGTACCGATACGTTCTTGAACATCAACTCTAGGTCATAGCTTCTGTGAACATGAATTTAGCATCATCAGAAACAAAAATATAGTCATCACCAGAATCTGATCTGGGTGGCCAAGGTGCTTCGTGACACTGGAACCTTGTACTTGCGTTCCTTAGATAGAGTGTACTTACGGCGGTCTGGATGCTTCTCTCCTTCATTATGTTATACTGACTAGTGCTCTTAATCGCCTTCATAGCTTATCCTGCCTAACCAGTTATTGATCAGTGCCGTTTGACACTGAAATCCAGCACGAAGTCTGGACAGCGATTGAAAGCCTGTTGTTCATGGGCATGAGTCACTTGTACTACAGATGATTCGGAAGCACTATCCCGCGGTTGCCCACTCCACTTCTTGCATCTAAACGCGTCCACTATGATTACATTCATCGCTTCTCTAGAGCTTCTGAGTCATTGACTCAAAGTCTGCGGTATCGGCTTTGCTGTCAGCAAGAATGCTGGCGATAATTAACTCGACTGAATAACAACGAACGGCCACCTGTATGCGCTTCGACTTGCTACCTCCATTAGAGTGAATGCGCGCCGTCTGAAGAGACTCTTTCCATCACTACTGTTTTTGCCGCCACCGACTGCATTTCTGAGGGTATCAAACACGAGTTCTGTCATTGGCCCTTTCCTCTCGTCAATATGCCGATGCGTACTGATAATCATTGTTGATGATGACAAATTCCCAATTGGGTCGCTTTCCTGACCCTGAGACCGCTTCGGGGTTGATGCACACCGAACCGACTGGTGATCGATTCATATGACTGTGTTAACCACAATCTTTATGTTAGCAGCACTGCTTCCCAACACAAACGTTCACATTCCGTCATCCGGACCTGGACCAAAATTGGCCATATTGCCATTTTCTACTGATAACGCATATCGATTCAAGAATGTCAGTCAACACGGTTTACGTACTTGGGTTCCGATCGTGCTTTAGTTTGAAAGCTTCTGACGGTCGTATTTTTACACAGTTAACTCCTGTCCTTACATTCTTCAATTTCTGTTCTCAAGCTAACCCATTCAATCGTGCCCGTGTTAGCACTTTGCCTCTCCATTTTTCCTCACGAGTGCATCTGTTGGGAACTATTTTTATTCCGGTCCAGCCTTCTCACCCGTCGTTTTTCTCGGGCTGTGAATTTGTTTTAGTACTTATTCTAATCAGGCATTAGGGACGTGAAAATACATTGTATATTGGTTCCAGTGTGTTGCTTGCAGCTGGGGATCAGTACTATTCACTGGCACACTACTGACGTTTTTTCTGATTACAAATCTCAATGCTGAAGCCTGTTTTCTGCTCCCTTCTTTGGGGCAGTTCCATCTTTTCCTCTCCGTTTATGGCTCATTGTATAGATATAATCTCTTCCCTTTTCAGTTGCAATTCATTGGCTCTGGAGCTTTCGGCACTGTTTACCGTGGAACCTGGCGTGATGAAGTAGTCGCCTTGAAGGTGCTCAATCTTCCAACAAATCAAGTGAGACCCAGGGCTCTGTTGTAACATGTGTGGCTTTCTGTCTTCTCGACCGTGTTCCAGTATGGCTGTCCAGCTTTCAAATCTTGACTACTTGACCACGTTTATTTTGGCTGTCCACGATGTAGGTAATCATGGTGTTCTGAACTATTCCTTTATTTCTTTTATTATGTATTGCGGCACAATAGATTAGGTGTTTTCTACCTCTAGCTAACGTGTATAATGAATGAATAAATTCCCTGTATAATTATATCAGAAAGTTCACCTACATAAAATGGACCGATTAGTTTTCTCGCATCCGTCGGCGCTTTGCTGCCACCGAAATCTTTATTTAAACCTGGCGTTTCCCCATCGTTTATATCAGCACAGGTGCTACGAATTCTGGATTTGATTTTGGCAATTATTGATCTTCCTCCCCGAAAGTTATGAAGCCTACCCACAGACTGGCCCCCTGAAGACAGTTCTTCTGGACATGCAGTTTTAATACTACAATACAGCAAAATAATTCAGTTGCTCCTCTGTTGTGTCTTCACTTACTTGGTGCCACTAGCAAAAATCTAGAGTATAAAGCTTTGGCACCTGTTCTCCCTCTCTCTCACTTTTCAAATCATTTCCGATTGATTCACTCATGGAAATCCTACGCAGTTCATACTTTGATATTACTAAGGCCTCGTGCCCTTTTGGGCCTGTTACTCCAGCGCATAGGTTTGTTGCTCTGTAAACTGTTTTATCCAGTTATCCGGCGTCTGGACAATTTGTGGTCATCTGTGTGCTCATTGTACGGGACCGCGTGCACGGCATCAGTTTTTCACCTATCAGGGAGTTGCTTTCTTCTATTGCCCATTGTGTTTTGATCATTAATCAGATACGTATGTAGTCGGTGATGAGCGCTACTGTTAATATGTACATACTGGATAAGACATATGGTGCGCATTTCAGTGAATTGGTTCATCAGCTGCTATCAAGCCCCCCGCTGCCTTTTACCAACTTTTTAAGTCAAAATTTTTGCTTTGACATCCTAGTCTGTCTTCGGCGCACGTCTAAGCTTTCTGGCAGCGTCGCATACAACAAGTCTGTAAATATGCTGTCAAATAATGACCAGGGCATGTACCGGTCTACACGCGGTTGAAGAGGGTCACGTTCTCTGTATACTTGGGGATGGATAAACAAAACCATGCTACTCCAGGTAATTTCCTTCATTCAATCCTTTTCTAGCCCTCACTGTCGCCCTTACTAACCCCGCTCGTGTAGCCCCTAGTGTAAAGGACGACAACAACATTGCTACTGACATCTTACTGTCTGTGTCTATGTATGCGCACTACCCACCAAACATTCAGCATCGTTACCCACCGACTGCGTCACATTTCCCGACTGACTTGTCTACATTCACCTGAAACAAACATAATCATGCCTGTGAAGGTGTGCCTCGCTTTGTCGAGAATATACCATATATTTACTTATTTATTTATTTGCGGCTTATCGCTTGTCGCAATACAACATTATGAGTTCTCCTTCAAATAATCTTTTGATGATCTGGCCACCGCAAACGCTAATAAACTGCGCCCTATCTGCTGCATCGAGCAGGGTGGATAGGGCTTTGGATGCTACTACTCAAGCCTTCCCGTCTTCTTATTCCCCCTCCCTCTTTTTCATCCTTCTCCTCCCGCTCCACCCACTTTCATCCCCCTGTCTTCAACCCCCCTATTCTTAGCCCCCATCTTGGTTCAGCACTTGTTACTCTTCTAGTTTCGACTCACACGCAGTCGCAGAGAGTCGCTCCGGTCCTGTCGACGAGTTCATGTCCAGCCAAGCGGACAACATCAGTTTATCCTATTCATTAAGGCGGAACCTGGCAGGGGTCCGCTGGGAGGCGCATTACTGACGAGACCCAGTAGGTCAAAACACCGGCGTCTGATGCTTTTCCAGACTAGCCTAAGCCTGCTGATTGGGAGTGACGATGATGAATCAGCTGAATTTTCTAATTCTCTTTGGAGCCCTCGGTCCTCCCTATGACTGGCATACCTCAATATGCGCTTTTTGTTGCAAATTTGCCAACAGGCAGTACTTGCCCCGACACTAGAGATCCTATCAATCGATATCTGCTGCTTGTCAGAAACTCGCCTGCAAGATTCTAGTTCTGGGATTACCCTCCGTACCCCAACACGCGACATTGGCTGTATTTTCTCATTGCGTTTGTCCGGAAATGACGCGGATTCGTATCGATAAAGCTCGATCAGCGTTTGCCAATCTGAGGCACTTGTGGCGTCGTCGCGACGTCTCATTCTCACTAAAGGGCGGCGTTTACAGCACACCAGTTCGCTTAGTATTGTTGTATGGGTGCGAGTCTTGGCCGATTTGCGTGGAAAACATGCGTCGTTTTTCTGCCTTCCAAAACGGTTGCTTAAGGAGGATCGCTCGTGTTTGGTGGCAACATTGAGTTAATAGTAATGACGTTCGACGTCGCATCTTGGGGAATGCGAGTATTCCCTTCAACAAACTGGTTTTGTTGCGCCAGTTGAGATGGCTCGGTCACGTCCTACTCATGGGACCTGAGCGTCTACCGCCTCGCGCTCTATTCTCTCTTCAAGGACCTGACTGGAGGCGACCGCGTGTTGGTCAGCCTTCCACTTGGCGGCAGCACATGAAATCGCTAACGTCGTGCCTATATTTGCAAATATATTTGCAAAAGTCTACGAATAGACATAATGCCATCAGAAACCATGGGATTCAAACGAAGATACAAAAATAGTAAAATAAAACACAACACAACAATGTCCATGGTTTCCTCAGAGGGCGAGATACTACCCGGTTGCCCAAGCCGAAGTAGGGTGTTGACTTAGGGGACACCACCCCGAGCCTTTGGCTGAATAGCCTGTCCGCAAGGCAGCGGAGCGAATTCAGGGAATCGCGCCTATTGGGAGCCGGTGACTGATTGCTCAGTTCATACGCCTTTCGTTTGTTCCTTTGTCAAACAGGGGCCCAAGGCTCCCCAGAAGTACAGCATGATGTTGCTGGAATACAATGCTTCGCCAGGATGAAGCAAGGGGCAGTGACTTTATTTAGTGGCGAGTCACGTCCGCCACGTCACGGTGTTGTTAAACGGACTTTTGTGGCTTTTTATAGGGAGAACGCTTGCTAGGCGAAAACCCACCCGTCCTGGAACACTACCGCCGAACCATTTGCTAGAACGGGAAAATCCCGAACCACCCAGCTGGCACCACGAGGAGGTTGTTCGGCAAGCCAGCCGGTTCGAATCCGCGTAGGGGTGGGCGTCCCCGCGGTATACTCAGCCCGCGCGCGACTGGTAGTGGTCGCGCGGCAGCGAAGCGCCGTTACGGCGTACAGCTGACATTATTATTGACGTCGTGTCTAGTCGCTGTTGGATCCGTACGTCTTCCAGGAGGGGGACCCAAAGATGAGGAGTGCCAATGGTTTAGCACTCTTGAAGATATGACCCGCGACCGGAATCAGTGGAAGAATTATGTACAGTATTGTGTTGATTCACATTTTTACTACTACAAACATTAAAATGACAAAAAAGAGCAAAAGCGGCTTGTGAAAACAAACTAAAAATGTTTTGTTCTGCTTGTTGTCAAAATGTTCCATTCTCCCTGCGGCATATTAGCTGGAGTGTGTTGCTCACCTTCAACTAGCATGCCACAATGATTATGACACGATGAATCTTGCTTATCCGCTGATCTCCATGGTTTTATGTTGGCTCTGTGTCTAGTTGATAGACTGTTGAGATTACATGCATTACTATCAGCAGGCATGTTTTCACGTGCCAAATAAAATTGCCAACCTAAACGTTGGGTCTCTATGCAGTCTCTGGGTCTTCTAGATGCTTGCTGGCGTGTTTCGGATAGATGCGAATACATTGAGACTCGCAAAGCTCTCGGGGCGAAACTACGTGCTAGCCTAAAGAGAGGCTTTTAAGATGGAAACAGTCGCTGCTCTTGGTAACCATCGGAGGTTAATCCGTTTGATACGAGAAACGAGCGGCAGGAAACTTGGTATTATGGAGACGCTACGCAACGAGAGTGGACAGCCGATCCACAGCTTCTCAAAGCGCTTGGAGCGTTGAACTAAACACTTTAAGAATCAGTTTACTCTGTCAGACTTGCCACTTTCTCTATCGACCAGTGAGCGCCCTACTCTCTGGGCCGTTCTCTTGGATCCGCCATCGTGCGCAGAAATCGAACGTGAGATCAGACGGCTGAAATTGAACAAGACCGCCGGAGCAGCTGGACTTCATCCAGCTCTCTTGGAGGACCTTTTCTTTTGGTGATTTACATAACTTACTAGCGAATCTATGGGGGCAGGAGACCGTCCCGACAAACTAGAGCCGCTTTGTAATAGTTCCAATTTTCAAGGGAGGCTCCCGTTCCGAATATGGCACTTATAGAGGAATCAGTCTTATTTCCATTGCCTCTAACTTACTTGCGTCTGTCGTCCTCCATAGACTGACTGGCATTCGTGAAAGCAGTTGTGCGAGGAGCAAGCCGAGTTTCGTCGAAATCGTGACTGCATTGACCACATCTTCACATTACGCCATGTTTATAGTCGACCCACCTTAGTCGTGTTCCTGGACATCAAAGGGGCCTTTGATTCGGTGGATCGACATGCCTTTTGGGACTGGCTACTAAGGAAAGGTATGCCCGAAAAACATGTAAATATTATCCGAGCGCTATACGCGCGTAGCTCTGGTAGAGTGAGGGTTTACGGCATGCTGTCGCCGTCCTTCAATATCTCCAGCCGTGTGATACAAGGTTACCCGCTGTCACCTTTTCTCTTTAACTTTGCTATTTACGAATTCATGGAACCGGCGTTCGCCGAACACGACTTATAAGGTCTGGAACTGCTCACTTGTGAGCGACCTCTCGACTTGGAGTATGCCGACGACATTGCCCTCATCTGTGACGGCTCCCGAACGTGCCAAGTTGCACTAGATAACTTAGCTCTGGTTGCCAGTCGTTTCGGGCTATGCTTCGCACCATCAGAAT